GTGTGAGGTCCTGCGGAACCGCAGTGTTTCGAAGATCTTTGTGATAAGACTGATTGTACCAAAACGTAAATGGATTTACCAACTCACAAATGGTTGCTTCGACCTACTTGATAAATCATCAACTCAATATTGTAACACAGTATCATTTATTTCACTCCTGAATGCAAGCTCCAGAACGCTCTAATATAAGCCTGCCTTTTCGATCTATTGTACCAGGTAACATGAAGGATTCTCACGCTTTGTACTGGCACAGCCTACTATAGTTTCTTAGTTCGCCAAACTTCTCCGCTTAAGTGCGCTCAGTCAGATCTTCGCTCACATCTTTACATCAATTAGGTTTGACTTCACTCTTCGCAGTTCAGTCGCAGCGTGTAACAACATCAGTTGCACGTTGGCACTTTCATGATTTTGGTATGTGCGCTACCCCGCTACCTTAGGACCGGGACCGGCTAATCCAGCAAGGTGATAAAAGCTATTGGGTTGACGTCCTATTTCCGTTTCCGAGAGTGTGAAGCTTATTCAGCAACGATAGCTGATTGTGAGTTCCTTATCCTTAGCTCCCTGGAACAGCACGGTATTCGTCCACAACAGCGGATGTATTCGAAGGTAGGGGGATCGTCAAGGTCAGACGCTTGCGCTTTTCTTTGGTGCTCGGGTACTTAGGTCATCATATCCTGATCTATAAGCTCCAGGAATGTGGTTCTGATCTCACATTCCGCAGATAGCTGAGGTAGCTTATTTCAACAACTGAAGTTGAAGGAGCAATCCGGCTAAGTGTTCTTTCCAACGCAAGTCACATACGTCGCACCACAAGTTTCGCTATTAAGTCCACATTGAGCAGTAGTCATTCTAATTGATCTAGTGCGAGTAACTAGCAGAGTTTTCTACCTATTCTGCTCATGAGACAATATGAGTGCGGATTAGCAAATCGGACACTCAAACTGTACTTTAACCCAATTCGGAGGAGGCTTTAAATTGGAGAATCTGTTGATCAGAGTGAATAAGAGCACGGCTGTTCATAGATAACGCACTGACACAACAACGTTTGAAGGACTGAGAACACAACCCACAGCCCTTGACCTAGGAACTCGAGCTCGATGAGTTCGTATAGGATGACGTCAGCTGTTTTATACAGTTATAGCCGGCTTCAAAACATGTTTACTAACACACCGACTTTAGGAAGTTTTAAGTCGTTCATCTCTTAAATTTGGAACTCATAGAATATAATATCTGAGCTTGAACGGCTTCGCAGAATCGGGACCTGGCTAAACCACAGACCACCCGACGTCGAGTGATATTAAATGTCAAAGCGTTTCGCTGTCTTCCATGACCGCATATTTTGACGGCAATTGAAGCAACCGTAGTGAAGCTCTTAATCTCTGGTTTGCAAATACTGAATAAATAAATTAGCCAAAAAAGAAAGTAATATTTGTGAACTTTATCTAGCTCCACTGAATGCTCACCTCCACATTGCGTTTTATAAAGTCTGGTTTTGAGCCATCTTCATCCACTGTACAATCCATTACTTCAGTCGAGGTGATATTGTGGTTCTCGTAACCATGTGGTTCTGTACGTACGGAGTGAACTTGGCCGGGCCAAACAAAGGCTTCCGTTGACGGAGCTCCATTATGGTTTTCAACTGAAGCCGCACAAGTAATGTTGGAGTATGCGTATGGGAAATGACAGATGAAATTTTCGCGTAACGTAAGGCAAAAGATATGTAGAAAGCGCTTCACAGTGTGACTCGGAGTAGACCGCATCTCGATTACGTGTGCTGGCGGTGACCAAATCAAACATCAGATCAAATATCACCTGGTTCACAGATAAACTCATTGACATAGGGGAACTGTGTGAATAGCATAATGATTGACTTTCAAATGCGTGTTTTCACACTGGATCACAGATACTAATTGCCACTAGAACTGTCGCTATAGACTCATGGAGACAACGACAACTTTCTTCACAAGAAGAGCGTATTTTGATAAAGGCATACCAAACTATACAGAATCCATACTGATATTTTAGCTGCATTGTATACCATTTCAGATCTACTTATAAGGTCTTTTGTCCCTCGAGCTTTATTTTTAAAGAGCAATTTAACATATTAATTCATTCCTGAGGATTTCAAAGGCGACGGTGATAATGCAAAGTAGTGCCAATTGGTCAGTTAAAGCCTGAACTAAACCGTAGCTTGCGATCCAACACATACTACTGCGAATGTACTCGTATCTGGTCCACTCGATGGCCAGAAAACAGAGCCATTATAGAAGTAGTCTCCGCCAATTTCATGACTTTATCAATAGCGAACTTGAACAGGAAAGGTGACAGCGGCCATCCTTGTCTCACACCGCTGGAGATATTAAAGGGAGATGACAGCTTGCCGTAAGCTCTCACTCTGCCTGAGCTACGCGCGTATAATGATCGGATAATATGTACCTAATTCTCAGGTACACCTTTCCTGAGTAGACAGTCCCAAAGAGCACCTCTATCCACCGAATCGAATGCACCATTGATAGCGAGGAACACGGAAAGAGTGGGCCTCCAATATATGTGACGGGGCTCCAACAACTGACGCAAAATAAAGATGTGGACAATGCAGCCACGACCTCGACGAAATTTAACTTGCTCTTCACGAATCTGGCTTTCACAAGGGTCAGTCAGTCTGTGAAGAATGACGGAGGCAAGCAATTTGGTAGCGATGGAGATCATACTGATTCCTCTATGATTGCCGCATTCGGATCGTGAGCCTCCCTTGAAAATTTGGACGATGACGGAGCGGCTCCAGTCGGTTGGGACAGTTTCCTGCCCCACAGTTTGACTAGTAATTCGTGTAAATCATCCACAAGATGAGGTCCCCTGAATTTGAAGAGGTAGATCATCTGGTCCCGCGGCTTTATTTATCTTCCACAGTTCGATCTCACGTCCGACTTCTGGGCGAGAGGGTGGATCCAAATGGACAGCCCACGGAGCAGGGCGATCACTGGCCGGCGAGAAATCCAACAATGCCGACCGATTAAATTGCCTTTCAAGATGCTCATCCCAACGCTCCAAGCGTTTTGACAGATTGTGAATAGGCTGTGCACTCTCGTCACGTATAGTTTCACTAACACCAGGTCTTCTGCTGCCTGTTTCCCGTATCAGCTGGAATAATTTACGATGGTTACCAACGGCAGCGGCCATTTCCTTCTCCGAAGCACGATGAGACCACCAAGATTCGCGGTCTCTCTGCAGGCTAGCACGGAGTATTGCCCGGAGCTCTTTGCGAGTTTCATTGTGTTTGCTTCCAGCCGGAATATGCCGGCGAGCATCTATAAGTTCCAGAGACTGCGAAGAGACCCAATGTCCGTGTTGGCGATTAGACATACCACATGAGGATTTGCCTGCTGCTAGTAGGGTCTGGTGAATATGGGACCAGTGAGCTTCAATAGCATCCGGTGAGCGCTTACTCAACTTGCATGACAGCGTACATTGATGGGCATACAGAACAGCTGGCTTCGCAAGTTGGATGGTGTCAATGCGGTCACAACGTCGTCGTGAGTGTCCGCCAAAACGCATCCGCCAAGTTAGTCGTAGTCAGAATAAGCAACCATTCGGAATGCATTGAACGACCATATTTTTACGCTCGCAGGGCTCGTCACCAACGCGCATTCCGTCTGAACGTTGAGAAATGCGACACGTGACTCTTCCCTCCGGCGCCACTGACAAAAATACTGGGCTGTGTTGTGTCATTTCTCATGACAGTCCGTGGTGTAGCGACACTCGTTTTCACTACTTTGTAAGACTGAGTTGGAAAGCATATCATAGAACAGTTTCCATTCAAGAATGACAACAGTGCAAGAACAATCAGCATTTCGATGGAATAATCTGAATCCGCGTATGTTTCGCGTATTCTCATCAGTTGCTTACAGACAATGGTTAAAAACTTCAAACGGTTAGAAACGACTGGTCAATACTAGAAATCGTTGGTTAGTTGTGTTAATGAGATAGGTGCACCCTACCAAAGCTAAGCAACATTGGTCACAAACTCATGCTACTTGCACTGGTTAGGCTTCAAACGCCAGGTGGCAAGAGCCTCGGCAAAACCAGCAATTTGGGATTGTTCTGTTTGTCAAACACCTTAAATGTCTCGCGTAGGATTCGGCACATCAAGCAGTTGAGTAATTGCCGGGCAACAGAGCTAGCAGGTAATGTTGCATCACTGAGCGCTAGAATGCGCTGAAAGTGTTCAGAAATCCAGGTTTCCACCACACCGACTAAAGGACTTACTTCGTATCTGTACAATAGGTGTAGCTCGGGGCGGTCCACTTGGCCCTATTTTGACTGATATCTTGGTGGCCCATCTAGAGAACACTTAATTGTGTCCGTTCATACAGGAAGCACACTTGTACGCTCGATACATTGATGACACCTGCCGGAAAGAGGTTGTCTACCCGGATTTCGAACACCATCCACGAAATCTAGCTCACAGTGGTGCAAAATTACCTGTTAGCTTTGTTGTCCGGCAATTACTCGACTGCTTGAGGCATTTAAGATGATCAACAAACAGAACAATCCCAAATTGCTGCGCTTTGCTGAAGCTTTTACCCTCCGACGTTTGAAGCCTAACCGATTCGAGCAGCTTGAGTTCGTGACCACTCTTGCGTTGCCTTGGTGTGGTGCACGTGCCTCGTTAACACAACTAACCATCGATTTCTGATAGTGGCCTGTCATTTCAAACCGTTTGATGTTTTCAACCGTTACATGTTAACGGCTGATGAGAATACGAGACAGATACTGAATTCAGATTACTCCGCTGAAATGTTGGTTGTCCTTGCGCTGTGGGATATCATATCGTTGAACAGACGAAATGCGCACAGCTGACGGGCCCCAAAAAGACAAAAAGGTTCTCCAGTTCTTTTCTGAAATTGCAATTGCTGTCCAATTAAGTGTGGCTTGGATAACTATCCATTAAAGCTGATTCCAATCTCTCTTGTACAACAACCCACAGCTAGAACAGCCCCTTCGTTATTGCTACCTTACACCTACTGGCCGGTTTCACGCATCACCTTTGGAGACAAGAAACAGTGCGTAGAATCAATTCTTAGCCTGAGACGGAAGACTAGTTTGGTACCTGGCGAGTGAGCAGCAATCAGCCCCATTTGAGCGCGTCGACAACAAGAGCTAAATCAGCACGAAACAGTGCTGAAACGAAGGACGCGCGGAAACATCCGGCGAAAATGTGGAATAACTGGTTCCGTAGAGCAGATTCGTTGTAGAGACGAATTTCCCGGACTCGAAGCGCATAGTAAGCGAAGGTCAATGACTGTATTGTACGCGCATATACGACGACGATGCTCCGATGAGCCGATTACCAGAACAAACGAACGGAGGGGAAACGTGCGTATTCGGCGCCACGACAGGAGCAAAACTGTTAACCGGTACAAGCGTACATAAACAAGTAGCTTCGTTAACGATAGACTCAGTGAAGTTTTACCGTTTGGTTCGTCATGAATAAGAGATACATCAAGATTGGAAATGAAATGAAACAGGCATTAAAAAAGCGTCTAGTTTAGACGAACCAGTGCGGTTTTACTTGCGTTACAGTGAGTGAATCTAATTCGTGCGCGACATAAAATGACTTTGTTGTTCTTTGAATACTAGAATCTTAATCGAGGCAAAGACTTTGTTTTTGCTTCTCGGAGAGCTGTTAAGACACAGATGAAAAGAAATCACGCCGACTTAGCAAACAAAATAGTTATGGTACTCCTGGCTAGTATACTTGTTTGCCGTTTCAGCTTTAGGCTCATATTCTCATCCCATCACTTATTTATACCGATCGTACTGGCCGACAGAATGCATCTCTCTTAAAGGCTGGTAATATCTCGGTACTGGCTCGTGCATACGTTAAATACTTCTTTTGAGTTCTACCTGGCAGCTTTAATATACCAACTAGTTGATGGAAAATGTTGCACTGCTTGGTTCTACTTCTCTGGCAATCAGGCACCCGGTCAGTTTGCAGTGTTCACTGAGGAGGACAAGATGAGTCCACGATGCCTACGGAAGCTCGATTCAGACACAATGCGGCTTACTTGGGACGGCAGCACTTCCGTGCATGTTCCATCGTTTTCTCTCGAGGATCACATTAGATTGAAATCCCTAAGTCAAGCAGTGCATCCTCCAAATATTGGTATTTGGAAGAACACAATTTTGCGAACAGTACTCTTTGCAACAAATCTCCTCAGACATTTACAATTATACAATGGTAGGGCAGAGCATAAATAGCTGATGAAGCCAAAGAGGTCAGCACAGTGAAATCACGACAACCAGAAACTCAAAAGTCTTGATCGATAAAGTTGACTTACAATACTTGTGATAGAGTGCGTGTTGGTTGATCGGTGCAATGCCAAACACATCATCCGATCACTGTAGGCGCAAGAAGTGATAAGTTGGTAAGCTAACCAGGGCCAAGGTAGAAGAAGCACATGCAGCAAAGCTTTCTGTTTGCATACTTCTGGTTGAATTATCCTAATGGCGATCGCTTCGGCCGTCCGTAAGATTTGCTTCCTAAGACTTTTAGTGTATTGTTGCTGTACTACATAAAGTACTTGGAAGGCATCAGCGATCCTACTTTGGTGTCCGCTTTTCACCAGATGTTCCGGG